ATTTTATATGGACTAAGTAGTTTGTATGAACTAAGTAGTTGAGGAAACTCTAAGATTAGCTCTAATTTTGCTAGCCATGATCACGATGAAATAGAGAACTATTCTTTTTTCAAAGTCACACCGAGAAGTATTTAGGGTAAAACTGCCATGTTGTCAGGAATAAAAATATTTTATAAAAAGATCATTCAAACAGATTGGTAGAATGTTAACAATCATGAAATCTAGATGCTGTAAATACAATGAGAGTGTTGTTATTATTGTACTATTTGTCATTTTGTAGGCTTGAGACTTTTCATTTGATGAAAAACTAAATAAATAAGTACAACACCAACATTGTTAACAGGACTGGCTGTGGGGAAGAGCTGGAGAGGCTGCCTTAATTCTCTTCATGGAAGCCACGAGTTGAAGGTGAATAATTCCACCTGTAAAACCCACTTCCTCACACTAGGCCACTTGTCTACCCCAGCAGAAATGATTGCTATAATTAAGTTCTTAGGATGAAGAATTTTAATTGTAGTAAGTTTGCAGGATATGTGGAGAAATGAGTCATGTACTCTTAACTGCAGATATGCCTCTTCTCCCTCTCACAGATTTGATCTTAAAAGACTTGTTCTCATGGGAACCCACAGAACAACCTAACAATTCATTAATATTTTGGAACATTGTTCATTTCTAAAATAAATTGCAAAAAAAAAAAGAATCTCTTTGATTTATTTCACTAATGATCAAATGACCTGGCCCCATATAGGTGGCCTTACAAAATAGAAATCAAGCTGCCCTGAGGTTGTAAAATCAGCAATAAAACTTTACGTCAATGTTTATTCCAAATCAAATACTGCGCCAACACTGAGGAAATTAACATAGAAGTTTCTGGGTACAAGAAAACTAGTCTTAAAAACTGACTTGAAATTCATGTGTAAAGTATTGCCTTGGCAAGAACCTGACTGGCACACATTTCTTTCTAGGCATCGTTTGTAGTCTGTGGCAAAAATGATAGTTAAATATTTAATGGGTTTGGGAATTGTTCTCAGGACTATTATTAGAAGATCACTTGTTTGGTGCTATAAAAATTTTACATTTCAGGAAGTGTTTGATGTGTCCAGGACATGTAGTAATGTTCATGCCTCCCAACTCTGTAAGAGCACGCCTCATCTTTAATGTCAAGTTTGTTTCATGAGTCCCAGTGAGGAATAATACTTTGGGCAATGATTGTTCATTGATATAAACAAACAGATTGTAGGAAGAGTAAACTTCCCACTAAAAACAAAGCTATGATCAGAGACTAAAGCAGTAATTAAGAACCCGAGAGCAGGATCCTACTCCTGTACAGAATTAGAAAATGGATGTGTCTTAACATTTCAGCATTCTCACCCTCAACTCTGGGCCATTCTAACACCCAAACATTTCCCACTCCAGCCTGTTTCTCTCCTCAAGCTCTAGCTGCAGTCTATGTACAGAGCTCTTTGCCTCTTTGGGAACAGTTGTAGGTATCAACATAGCATCATTTGGGTTATTTTTTTATGATAGACAAAAATGGTCTTTATTGGCTGCCACACTCGGTGTGAGGGGCGAGGCTGAGGGTGGGGGTGGAACACATAGGACAGCTTCCACTCCTGGGGCCATGCAGCCACTCCCAAAAGTGGGGACCTCTCTGAACTTTCTCTTCTTCCCCCACTCCAAACTTCCCATAATCCAAAATACTATTGCTATAGAATTTCATCCAAAGACTTCTAGAAACATGTACCTTAAATGCATAGTCAGAATTCTATGTTACAGCCCTAAACTCCTATGGGTGTAAGATAGATATCAGGATGCAAATCACAGTACTATTTGCTCACGTTTAATTTGCTCTAAACACAGTTCATCTGCACTAGAACTAGGTATGCATAGGAGCTTGGGAGTGGGTCAGACAGGAAAGTAAAATCAAAATTTAAAAAGGGGTAGAGAAGCACACAGAATATAAAGCAAGATTTTTGCCTCTTGAGTTACAGTTGGTTGAAATATCTATGTTCAAATGGCATTGAAGAAAGAATTGAAATCTTCTTTTCTGATGGGAAACCTAAAAAATTTTGCATTGACCTTGAACAAAAGTAATGTTAACAGAGACGTCTAATTTGTTTGCATATTTATTTCTCCTTATTTCAGCTAAATGATTAATTTTTCTGATTTGCAACTACCTCTTACTGTCTTTGCTCCATTTTTTAAGCAGTTGTATTGATGATTATACCTATTTACATAGCACTCTTCAGCACTATTTGAAGACAGTGCACAATTTCTGGGGAAAAATAGGAGTAGAGGCATAGGTTGTTAGTTATGCTTATGATACTGCTAGCTACCTCAAGATTGCTTGTCTTTGATTCCTTCTTTCAGAGTGAGGTTTCAGACACAAACTTGGTCATGATCAATATCAATTTTGGCAAAATATGCTTTGACAAAATATGTAGTTCTCTAAAGAAATCAAACTCTCACATTTTTGATGCTAAATATATTCTCAAATCACCTGTATCAGTAACTTAAAAATTAGATTTACTCCATGAGATATATTAGCAGGTTTGCATAAGAAAAGCAACACAGTGAGTTTTTCATGGTTAATTCTATTTATTTTGCAAAAACTGTTCTTTATCATTAATATTCCCTTCCTCCTTTTTTGTTGTTGAAATAAATCCTCCTTGTGAAATAACAGTGGAAAAATAGATAGTAATTGAGTGTGTATTCCATGTTTTTAACTTAACAAAATTAGCAGGTGTCAAGCTTCTGTTTCTTTACATTTTTTCCACTAAAAAGAAGGCAGATTCTACTTGCTATGGAAATCCAAAAGTTGAAGACCATTTAGACTGTATTGTAATCTCTGCTTCAAATGCTGTTTTCTACAAGGTGGCTGAATGCTCTGAGTCTAGACCTAGGAAGAGAAAGAACAGAATTTTACAGATACTTTTCAAGCTGTAAACTGATTTTTGAATTTGTAAACTGCTTGTTATTAATACTTTTTTCTTAACTGAAAAGTTGTCCCTGGATTAAAATTTCTGAATTTGCTTCCGATTTTTCATAATCTCCGCTAAAGAATTTTTAGAAGCCTGTTTTGCTTCTGGTCTCTTCACTGTGACTTCAGAGTAATCGTTGGCACATTGATAAACCAAAGTGTGTCTTGGGAGTTATCAACTTGTCCTTTATTAGGAAATCTGAGGTTAGCTAGAACTCAGCTATAGAACAGAAGAGAGAAAGATGAGGAAAGCTTGAGGCTCTGAGGCAATGCTTAATGGGTTCAGTGTGTGCTCCTAGCTCTTCAAACCATTTCAAATGGCAGAGTCCTGAGTCCTGGTGTCTGCAAGAGAAACAAAATGAAATTCAATATTCCTCAGTTTATCTTCAATGTCTAAATTCTATAACATTTTATTGGTGTTCTTTGAAGTTAGTTATTTCTTATCCTCTTTCTCCTTTTGCATTATAATTCTTAGCCGAAGTCCTGATCACTCATTAAATGACCTAACTAGGGGAAAAAACTGTTTACATTTAGAGTAAATAAACATTTACTAGTAAATAAATTTATCTACTTACTATTTATGTATTATTTACTAGTAAATAACTATTTTCTAGTAATTAAAACATTCACTCGCAAATAAATAAACATCTAGTATATAAATATTTACTACTGAGCCACATCCCCAGCCCTAGCATCTTTTTAAAAAAATGTTAGATAGGGACTTAATCTCACATATTTTGGCGTAACTTTGTAAAAACGGGCCTAGGCACTCCAGAGACTGAAATTCAACATAAAATTTCGATGCCAACCCATTTCAATTTTCAAAAATGTTTTTTAAGTTATGCAACGAACCCATTTTTGTGATGTTTTGTGAAGAGTTCGACTGTTTCTTAATCTGTTTGCAAACAACCAATGTTCTGTTCTCTTCTCCCTCCCTCCCTAACCCCACACCCAAAGGGGTGGTTGTTCTTTTTATCTTTTTTTCCCCAATCTGGAATCCTCCTCTGTCCACTCCCTATATTCACTCCCTTTATGTGTTTATGACAGTCATCAATGAACCCACCCCAGCACCTCGTTCCCCGCGCGCCGAGATCCCTACAACTCTCTCCTGGGTACTGTCCCTGCGCATACCAGGGGCCCCGACGTGGCGCACCTGCCAAGCCCCGCCGCTGGGTGGTGGGTCTGCGAGGAGGGTTAGGGCGGCAAGTGCGGATCAGACTGTTCCCGGGCGGCGCGGTCGGGAGCCGGGCTTGGCGCGTAGCCTGGAGGAGGGCGGAGGCGGACTGCACCTCGGCGGGGCTGATGTGAAGGCGATAGCCGGTCGCGGGGACACAGTGAGAGGAGCTTGGGCAGCAGGAGGCTGCTGCCTCGAGTCCGCGTGGAGGCGCCTCGGGAGCCCTGCGCCGAGACCCGTGAGTTCCAGGGGGATCCGGGACGCGGGGCTGGGGTACTGCGGGCGGCGTTCGGGGGCCGGGAGCTCCTCGGCTTTGGGGGATACTAGGAGGAGCCGCAAAGTGGCCCCGAGACCCCGCAAGGGTCGAGATGCGAAACGGCCGCGTTTCTCTACCACCCAACCTTTCCCCAGCTGGCATGCAGCTTGAATTTTGCAGCGGCTGCTGAGACTAGCCCGAGGACCCGCGCAGCTGGCTCCAGACCTACTATGTGCCCCCAAGGGGATCGGTGGGGTGAGGGTGCCTGGGGCCCCGGAGGTGCAGGGACTGACCCCAGCCTGCCGGGAGAGGTCTGGAGCGCGCCGGAGAGACGCCGACGGGGCGCGCCTTCGGGGCTTCCGAGACGCGGCGAGGCTCCTAGATGCCGCGCTCCCTGGGACGCTGAGTGGATTTCGCGTAGGATCCCGTCACTCATCAACCGCCAGGGGTCCCAGCCTATGACCCCGCCAGGTGTCTTAGTCCCAAACCCCCCGGCCGCCTTGGGAGACCTTCTCCGTGCAGACTTTGGATTGTCTTTTACAGGATCACCCTCAGGCTCGGGAAAGGTCGGCACGAACTGCAGGCGCCAGCCCTGGGCACCGAGCCACTCCGCTTCCCCGCCGCCAAGCACCGCGCCTAGGAGACCAGGCTAGGGCCGGGGTCAGAGCGCCTCTGACCCAGCGGCACCCATGTCTCTCTCATGGCTCGCAGGACTTGGCGCTGGAATGGTCTTTCTGCACTTTGTGCAAAAACTCGTCTTCCCTTACTTCTGGGAAGACTTCTGTTACCTGCTGAAGGTGGTTCGCTATGGGATTCGACTGCAAGTGTACAGCTACAAAGGGGAGCTGTTTACCGTCTTGGATAAATTCCTGAGCCACGCCAAGAAGCAACCCCAGAAACCGTTTATCATCTACGAGGGAGACATCTACACCTATCAGGACGTGGACAAAAGAAGTAGCAGGGTGGCTCACGCCTTGCTTAACCATTCCACGCTGAAAAAGGGGGACACGGTGGCCCTACTGATGAGTAATGAACCCGACTTCCTCCATGTGTGGTTCGGCTTGGCGAAGCTGGGCTGCGTGGTGGCCTTCCTCAACTCCAACATTCGCTCCAACTCTCTGCTGCATTGCATACGCTGCTGTGAGCCCAGGGCCGTCGTTGTGGGCGCAGGTAGAGTATAGGGTGTGGTCTGCTTGTGCAGAGGGGCATCTGTCTGTCCTCCCCCAACCCCCCAAACCCCCCCAATCCCCCAACCTCCGCAACTTTTCATTTGAAAACTATTCTGTGTATAAGAAATACTCTGGGTGTTGGATGTTGTATCGTGAGGGTACAAAAACCGTTTTACAGTTCTGCGAATGGTGGTTGACATCGGCCTCCAGTGCTCCTCACTATTATATTCACTTAATCACTCGGCGCAGGGCCGAGTGGCGCATCTCATTGAGTGGACGGGCTGGAGCAAGCCCAGCGACTCCCCGGTTGCCCTGGAGTCGGCCTTTTCCTTCTACTCGGACCTGAGCGAGGGGGAGCAGGAGGCTCGCTTTGCGGCAGGGGTAGCTGAGCAATTTGCCATCGCAGAAGCCAAGCTCCGGGCCTGGTCTTCGGTGGATGGTGAGGACTCCACCGACGAGTCCTACGATTATATTATAGATTAGTAATTATCAAAACTTTGCACAAGTATGGGGGTGGAGTTTTACTATCTTTGTCACCGTTTGGGGGGGCACTTAGGATTTGGGGGCTATTCCAAATTCTGTCACCATTTGGGGGGCACCTAGCAGTGCTTGGGGGCTATTCTAAATTCTATGCTCAGGGATCACTCCTGCCATGTCCCTCAAACCCTGCACGATCTCTCTATCTCTGATGTTGATACCGTTAGTAAATGAATGGAACATAAAGTGCTAGAAATTGCTTGGTCCTAAACTGAGTCCGATCTGACAAAAATATTTGATTGGTAGGAGTATTACTTTGACCTGATTACAGAATGTGTATCTGCAGCTCTGATAGTTAACATTATCAAGACTGACAAGATTGGCAAAGCACATGCTTACTCTGAAGTGCATGCACAGATTTTGTTCTTCATTTGTACACTTTTCTACACTGCCAGCGAGTTAGGATTTGCCTGGTGAGATTGGCTGCAACCTGTGGTCCCCAGAGAAGCTCTGACATGCTCCAGGCCCCTTTCTCTCTCTTGCTTCACATCTTCTATGAGTATCATTTTTCTCTAGTAAGTTCTAGGCTGCTTCATCCTCCTGCTGGAGTGTCTTAGGGTGCGCATGTTGACACTGAATTAAGAAAAAAAATACTTTTAAGTGCCTAATTAACAGAGAACATAAGAAGATGGGTTGTTTAACAAAATGGAATTAAAGTATGAAAATATGATGCTTATTTGGCTTGACCCAAGTGATTTGTGCACATTCATCTTGCATGGGAGTTGAAAGAGAGAGAGTGAGGAGGTGCCACAGCAAATACCTTCATGAAAACAGAAGCATTTTGGATGACTAGATATGTACTAATATCTCATGTGGTGCTTTCAGGTTCACAGGCCATAATGAAACACAAAGTATACAGGAGGATTTCTAAGAACTTTTCACGTTAACATCTATTGTATATTTAAATTATATAATTAATTTAATTTAATTAAAATATAAATTAAGCTAGATAATATTTTATTTATTTATTTATTTATTTTTTGCTTCACACCCGGCGATGCCCAGGGGTTACTCCTGGCTCTTCACTCAGGAATTACTTCTGGCAGCACTCCGGGAACCATATGGGATGCTGGGAATCGAACCCGGGTTGGCTGCGTGCAAGGCAAACGCCCTACCCGCTGTGCTATTGCTCCGGCTCCTAGATAATATTAAAAAAAAAAAAGGTTAGTCATTAAAGACTTTTCACTTTGCTCCTCCAGTTGTCCTTCCAGCTCATGTTGTGTGACCTGGTAACGTAGGAAAATATTTATGCTCAAACACTGATATTCTCTTGTTTAAGCTGCAGGAGCGGAGACAGAAAGCCTCTCATGTTTTTTTGGTTCATTTTTCACTCAGTAATCCTGGCTCACAAGATTGAGATTTGCCTCCTCATTTTAGAAAGAAATTAAATCATGTGCTTTTTTTTTGAAAATGCCTCTCTAGACCATAGCACTGTAGTACCGTAACACTGTCTTCCCATTGTTCATCGATTTGCTCGAGCAGGCACCAGTAATGTCTCACAACAAATTGTGAGACTTGTTGTTACTGTTTTTGGCATATTGAATACGTCACTGGGAGCTTGCCAGGCTTTGCATGCGGGTAAGATACTCAGAAGCTTGCCAGGCTCTCAGAGAGAGGCGGAGGAATTGAACCTGGATTGGCCATGTGCAAGGCAAAGGCCCTACCCGCTGTGCTATTGCTCCAGCCCCTAGACTATAGCAATAGTAGAATAAGTGAATCTCAGAAGTTTGATAACATGGTGAACGCTATTTACCAGATTTGTGCTGGGATCATAGCAATGTGATGTAGCAAGAAAAAAATATTGCTGTTCAGCAAAGGATACACTCTAACATTTCATTATACTCCCCATCTTACTGCTCCATCTGGTTTCAATAGGAGCTTCTAAAGCAAATCTGAAATTGTGCTTATGAATTGATAAAGACAGATTTAGAAGAACAAACTGAGAGCCGCACAGTATCCCTGAAAAGATGTCTGTGAGCACAATGCTGAGGCCAATTGGATGGAGAAGCACCCGGTGGCGGGTCTCCTGAGGTCGTCTTCTTCTAGTGCACAGGGCTGGTTACCTCTCAAAATAGAGTGTTTTAGCTTAGCTGTTGACTGAGTTGTTGCTTAATTAGGTCCAATTAATTTTGCGGCTTTATTTGTGCCAACTTTCGCTGTGCTTGCCAATAACTAATTGCATTGTTCCCTTGTTTTTGTTTTCAACAACTGCAGTCAGGTTTTGTATATAAAAGTCACTTTGGGATGCTGGACTTCAAAACCATTTCATGGCAATCTTAAACCTGACCAATATTTTTTGTTAGTATTCCTCCAAAATATATGGTACATGTGTTTTCAAAAATGCTTGTTATCTTGAGTCTATCAAGTAAATACAATTTCCATTTAATTTTTAGAACTTTAATATCATCAGTCTTAGACTCTCACTTAATGTTTCTGAAGGAGATATATTATTAAATCATTATATCTCCAAGGAGAGTGCATTTGGGTGAAAGACCTAAAGTTAGAAAGAACTACAGAGATAGCACAGAGTAAGACACAAATCTTGCCTGCAGCTGATCCTGGTTTGATCCCTGGAACTATAGTCTCCTGAGCCCTGAGCATTCAACCACTGAACTATTGGTCTGAGAATCATCAGAGGACTTGGGGTGGGCCTGGATCTCCTGAGCACAACTTGGGAATCTCTTCCCCTCAAAAAAAAAAAAAAAAAGCAGGCATAGGCCTTCAGTTAGGCTTAACAGTATCTTCTCTCTGTAACTGAAGATCCTGGTTGTCTTGAGTTTTACTTTATTCAGTTGTTAAGTGGTGATAATACCATCTACTTCACAGTGCATTCTGAGGATTAAATGACCTAACTTTTGTAAAGTGGCTAGCTAAGTGTCTGGTATGTACTAACTAGATCCTTGGTGAATAGAAATAATTGCTTTTATTATAGAGTCATCTGAGACTTTTAATAAGGGGTCTCCTTTGGATTTTGCTGCAGTAGCCTAATTTGGCATGAGCGCTAAAAAAGACTAGTCAATAGTTTGTTTGCAGTGGACATTGCACACTTTTCTCTGGATGATTTACTACTTTATTTTGCAGGCTGTACCTAGAACCTACACCAGAAAGTCCTTCAAAAATTCCCCTGAAAATTTTCAGCACTTAAAAGATGAGTGTTAGATGAAACCTGATCTCCCCCCCACTCCCCAGCGGGTAGTTGTGCCTCTAGCTTAGATGATTATTTATATATACTTTTTTGTTCTTAAACCAAATAGAAAGAGCTTGGGACACTAATTTAATTTTTTAAATTTATTTAATTTTATAAAATTGTTCACAATAATTTATTAATTCAATATTCCAACACCAATCTTACCACAATTATACCACCACCGTTATACCTTACTCTCCACCATTATTTTGAATTTTCCCCATCACCATTCTAGCCTGCCCCAATGACAGACCCTAAATAATTTATTTGTGTTGCTTGTTATGAATAATTCACTAAAAATGATCAAAAAAGGTTTTCTTAGAAGAAAGTGTGTGAAGATTCTTATATCATCCTGGAGCCATTGAGCCCTTGTATAAGTGATTACTAATATGTTGTTACAGGTTGAGCCTTGTTTGCTAATATTTTTTTTCAATTGAGATCGATTGCCTTCTACCTTACATCCTATCCAATGTGTGCTACTCCTGGTAATCAGTGGTATAAAATTTGTGATGTCACATAGCCGCAAATGCGATTGTGTGCTCCAGGAATTCTAAAATTTTAAGTGAGATGGAGTTAAATGGGATACTTATAATTTAGATCACTGTATGCAACTATGGCCTTTGACATATTTAGTAATATTAAAAGTAATGATAATGTTAATCACAACTCATTTGAATTCCTTTCAAAGCCTTTTACCATAAGCACCTTTCACCTCCTAACCTATCCTGATTGAGGGTAGATGCTGTGTGGTTTGTTTTTGTTTTTGTTTTTGTTTTTAATTTTTATTAGTGAAACACCATGAGGTACAGTTGTAGACTTACAAATTTTTGTGCTTGGGTTTCAGTTATACAATGATCGAGTACCCATCCCTCCACCAGTGCCAATTCTCCACCACCACTGATCCCGTATCCCTCCCACCCCCATCCCTCCACCCCACCCTGCCTCTGTGGCAGGGCATTCCCTTTTGTTCTCTCTCTCCTTTTGGGTGGTGTGCTTTGCAAAAGAGGCATTGAGTGGCAATCATGTTCGGTCTATAGTCTACTTTCAGCATGCATCTCCCATCCTGGGAGGATCCTCCCAACACCCTTTATTTGGTGCTCCCTTCTCTATCTGAGCTGCCTTTTACCCCGATGCTGTGTGTTTTTGAGGTCAAGAACCTATAGCCCCTGGGTCGAAAAACTTTATTTTATGTTTACTACTAAATACTCAGAACTTTGCACAGGGGGAAGATTCAATAAATATTTCCAGGATGAATGAGTGAATAGCTAATGAAAAAT